GCCACCTCGTTCGCTGCGCTCACTTGGTGGCTTTATTCGGTGGTTATAGCAACTGACAAGGCTTTATCACACCATATTCACCTCGGGGTGGGTCATTAACCCTTGAATATTTGTTTTTGTTTGCTTCTCAAAAGTTTTTCAGCCATGGTGACAATTTCTGAACTGGCTGCCATGCTTACCATGATGTAACTGGCAGCATTTAATTGGAATAACTGCCGGTAGAAATAGATGATTGGCAAAATGTTCCCTAACATCAATTTTGTCCAAACGTCTTTGTTCATTGAATAATGCCTATCACATTTGACTATTTTCAAGAACTGTTGTACATGTATTTCATTGTCATTTGTTTCATGATGTCAACTGTAGTTGAAGGCATGTATATCTTCACCTTTTCCTGGTGTGACTGCAACAGTCCAGTTACAGTTCAGGTTGTTTCCATAGTTGTTAGGGTAGTTCTTGGACAAGACAATCCCTTCTGTAGCAGTGAGGTAACCACCACAGAGAGCTGTAAATAAAATTGAATAATTACTCAAACAATGCAACAAATAGATCAACAATTCTACTCTTTATCCTTTCACAAGATCACTACAGGTATTTAGTAGTATTGAATATTCTCACATGTGGCTTGACAGCCTAGTTTGACAATAACAAGGTACTTTGCTGGGTGGCAAGGTGGTCTTGTGGCTAGGGTACAGTTTAGTTGTCTCAATCTGGATGTTCTGGGTTTGAATCCCTGGCTGGCTCCAGTGTTGTGCCCTTGGAAAAGTCACTTAACACTTATTTCCTCAATCATCTCAGGTGAAAATGAGTACCTACATGGAGCTTTGGTTACGGACATCCTCTTGCATAGGATGTACATTTGTAAAGCTGAGGTCCTTCAGGATCGAGAGCCACACCTCAAGAACGTTAAAGATCCCGCCACAAAAGGACTAGGGGTCCTTCCCAGTATGAGTGGTTCAAACCTCACAGTCTGGTCTCAGGGTTAACATATGAAACGGTGATAGTCTAGGATCTGAATCTCAAAAAATGAAATAAATAAATACTGCCACTAACCATCACATGTTGGTGTTGGTCCAGACCATGAGGGTGTGTTACCAGTCTGGCAGGTAAGGGGGGTGGCATCACTGATGACATAGCCAAGGTCACAAGAAAAGGTGACAGTGTTTCCCACATAGAAAAAGTCACCATCACGATTGCCATGGGCAGGGACACCAGGATCAGGGCAGGCTAAGGATACCTCATCTGTATTGTTAGGAGAGAAGGAAGTATGGTTTATGTATCATAAAAACATGAAATCTGTTGCAGTTAACGTTACTGTAGAAAAGTCTTCAACCTTGTCCATGTTGTGACCAAATACTGTACAACATAAAAAGGTAATCCAATGATATAGTATGAAAAAAATCCTTGAAGAACACAGAAGACTTACCATTAAAGGTTGCCCTAAAGCCAGTTTGAGTGACACTGTAATCAGTGACAAGTTTAAGGTACAGAGAGCTGCCCGTGCTACTGATGGCATTTGGGGTGTTAGAGCCTGTCAGGCGCTGAAGCATTGGTGAGGAACCGTCTGCCCCATCACGAACTTCCAGAAAATCATAGCCATCCTCAAGGTCCAATCTGGAAATTAAGATAAAAGTTTGTTCATGTCAACTGAAGATATATTACTAGTATTACTTAGTCGGCATGAATTGAATTTTAAGCTTGTTTAGAGTTCATTTCAGGATTCACATTTTAACATTTGTACAATATAAAACAGTACATCAGAAAAGTATCATCATCATTCATACAAAACGTTTTCTTGAGCCCTTATAGTACATTATGTATGTACATGATTTTATAATGTAATTTTACCCCTATTTTGCGGGGACAACAAGTGTGAAAATTAAATAAATAAAACATCATTAATTTTCGAGCACCTTTCAAACTGGAGCTGTACCACAGCGCCCCTGGGGGAGGTGATGACCCACTCACAGTTCAGGTTGTTTTCGTACTGACCAGGGTAACCAGGAGACTGGATGGTTCCTGAGGACTCTGTACGCTGACCACCACAAGCAGCTGAGGGTGTGACACAACAGTCAGACAGAATTACATGTAGTCTGTTAATGCACAGCTTGGGACTACATGAACACAGTTTTCCAGTTAACCAATAATTTGCTACACTAACAAACAAAACTTAATAATATGTCAACAGATATGCATATATACCATCGCATGTGGGCACTGGTCCGGACCACTGGCCATTGCTCTGACAGGTTATAGGTGAGTTGTCACTCAGGTCATAGCCTGGATCACAGCTGAAGGTGACCTGTGCACCCACAGAAAAGGTGTTTCCAATGACACTGGTCACCATGCTGCCAAACTGGGGGGCTCCAGGGTTTGTACAGGTCACAGATCCCAAGACTGTGGGTTGGAGAACAAACCAGGAACATTGAAATAAATCTTTCACTCTCAATGAAAAAATAATGCTATTCACAATCCTGCAATTTGTACTGAAGATAACATTAGTGGCTTCTATTCATTTTCAGAAAACAAACATACATATGAATACCTACTTTGATAAGCTGCTTGAAAGCCAGTCTGTTGCACAGACCCATCTGTAGTCATTTTGATGGACAGAACGTTGGATGTGCTTCTCTGTTGGTCTGGAGTATTTGTGCCAGTAAACCTGTTTAGTACAGTACCATTGGCATAGCCGTCATAGACGTACACAAAGTCATAATTGGCTTCCAGGCTGAAGATGTTGAAGGTGAGCTCGATCAGGCGTGGGGTTCCACTGGACGTTGTGCCCCCCAGGATGGTCCAGATACACTGGGCATCGTTGGGGTAGGAGTTGGGATAGCCGGGAGAGTTGATCACTCCTGACTGGTCTGTGTATGTTCCACCACAGGATGCTGAGAGCAAAAGTAAAGGGAACACATTCCAGTCATTACCTAATGCTATATTAAACCATAGTCCACTTTGGCAGAACATACTGCACCTGCACAAAATCTGCACAATCTGCATTTCAGGTCGTATTTGCATGTTTAAGAATGACATTCCATTTACTGAAATACAAAGTTGTAGCTCTACCGGTATATATAATAGTATTTCAGAGCTTAAATATCCCATGTAAAACAGGATAGTGCGTCTGTGTGATGTAGTGGATAGAGCGTCCGACTGTCAAGCAAGAAGACCCAGGTTCAATCCCCAGGGTTGGACCCAGACATGTCCGGACTTGCACCCAGACGTTGTGCCCCTGGGAAAGGCACTTAACACGTATTTCCCCCCTCAGTTAGAGGGTTCCTGGGCCCTACTAGGGTTTGGATTGGCGTTAGGAAGAGCATCCAGCTGTAAAAATCTTGCCTCAAAAAAAGACTTGTACCTGGTGCAAGCACGTCTAACGCCCAGTTGGGGAAAAATGACGTTAAATTCAGTTTAAAAAAAAAAAAAAAACACCTTCACAAGTTGGTAAAGCATCACTCCACATCCCGTTTGACTGGCAGGTGATTGTGGCAGTCCCCTGCAGCTGGTACCCAGCCGAACAGCTGTATGTGACTGTCTGTCCGACTCCAAAGTTACTGTCATTATCCCTGTTCCCATTGTCAGGCACTCCAGGATCATTGCATTGACCTGTAGTAATACCTGCAGGAGATCGATACAGAAATGTAATGTTAACAATTCACCACTTTGCATTATGCATCATGCAAAGAGAGCTGAATTCAAAAAGTACTTCATACAGTATAAGCTATTATAATAACAAAGAAGCATACATCATATTAATTGTATGCTAAAAGAACTTACTTGTGTAGGAGAATTGGAAGCCAGGTCCTGTGACAGACTGATCAGATGTAAATCTCAGGAACATCATGTTAGATGTGCTGGTGATAGGATCAACTGACTGTTGACCTGTTAACCTAGAAATTAACAGGCAAATGGTAAAAATGAGCCTCCTTATCTGTGTTCCTTGGCTCCTAGGCTGTTTTCCACAAAGGCATGTTTTTAACAAGATTCTAAAGCTATGTGAAGGACAACATGAAATTCATAGACTGACTGCTCTTCACAACTACAGCTACAGTACAGTTACACCCATTAAAGTTTGCTAGTTTTTACCTTTGCAACTGTGAAGAAGTATCACTGGCTCCATCATAGATGTACAGAAAATCATAGTTTGACTCGATGTTGAAAGCGCTGAAAGTGAGGCGAATCGTGCTTCCTGTCTGTACAGTGATTGACCACTCACAAAGCTCATTGTTGCCATAGTCACTGGGATAGTTGGGTGAGGAGACAGGTCCTCCAGAGGGGGCTGTCAGGGCACCTCCACACCCAGTCCCACTGGTAGGTGTTGCTATGTTGAGAAAGGCCATTATTATACATCATGTAGTACGCTGTTTAGAAACCCTATACATGATGGGGGTCTGGGGATAAAGTTGCAGATCACAGCTTACTGAGAAAAATATAGAAAATACTGAGTCACTTGTTTCATCAAAATGTAGTAACATTACTGTTGATAGCTTTGATGTACAATGTTAACATTATGTGCAATATAATTGTCCTGGCAACTAACAGTAAGCCAGTCACTAACTCTTGTATTAGATACATTAAAAGCTCAACTCAACATCTTTCTGTAAGAAGACAAGAAGTTTTATAGGTGATGCCTGAATGCTGTGATGTCATAGTTCCTCACCTATGATCTGGCATGTTGGAGGTGTGCTGTCCCAGCCTGCTGGTTGGGTTGTACCAGGTGATCCTGCTGTGCAGTTTAAGGTGGTCGCTCCAACTAGTTGGAATCCAGCATTACAACTGTACGTGATCTATACAATGCAAGAAGAAAATTCGAAAGAATTTCGTTTTAACTTCTTTAAGATGCCACAAACACTACTTCAACCCCAAGTTACACAATAAGGGCCTATAACTGGACCCACCGTGTCTCCAACATTGAAAGTGGAGCCAGAGGGGGGAGGGTTTCTGTTGCCATTGGAAATGCTCCCTGGGTCAGGACAGGTCCCCACAGGACCAGCAGTTGGACTGGTAGTAACTGAAAATAACAAGAAATTTTTTTGATGTGTTAGAAATTGGGAAGAAGTTAGCTGTCTATAAACAAAACAATAATCACACAGTGGTTGAGGCTCTAATACTTCAAGGTTGTGTGATTTCAGCATTTCTTACAATTCAGAAAAGTTTTCAAATGTTTGTCATCCCAAAAATTGTGGATTTTTGAAAACCTAGGTATCGTCCAAACAGATGCCTTACAAGAATAGATGAGACTGAAGCCCTGGCCTGTTACACTCGCATCACTGGTGAACCTGAGTTGAACTGTATTTGTGCTGCTGATGTAAGTTGGTGGGAGGCTTTGTCCAGAGTATCTGTAGGCAGAAGGGGTGAATAAAGGTAAAGATGGTCCCAATTTGCCCTTTTGAGGCCATAGCATCAGAGGTTCTTGACCCACAGTGTCTAGGTCACAACATAGGAATTCAGAGCCCAATCCTCTCCTTCAGCTGCCTTATGTACAATACGACAGCATGTAAATACTCTCCAACAAAAATCTTCCATGGCCATGCTTTAGACAAAATTAATAAAGGGCTGGGATGAATAAAGGTCAACTGGGGTTAACAGTTACAGTAATGGCATTACAGGTTTTAAGGTCAGACCCATGCAACAGTAAGAAACAGAACATTCTAATATACTAGTATTCAAGTAGTAGAAGCACAACAGATTTTTAATTCAACAGATGGTCCTATTCATACAAGCAATCGATCACCTTTGAGTTTCAGTTCCACCTTCCAAAATTTTCAGAAAGTCAAAATTTTGCTCCAGCCCGAATGCCTGAAAGTCCAGTCTGATATAGTTTCCACTGGGTGCTCTGATGGTGTACACACAGTTCTCATTGTTGCCGTATCCTACAGGATACCCTGGGCTAGTGATGGTTCCTGATGCATCCACAAATGTACCACCACAGGAACCTGCAACCACAAAGTACAAAAGATTAATGTATGTGTGTGGTTGCTTGTATTTTTGTTAGTAAGGTATTTGAAAGCAGTAGACTGGCAGGGAAGGGGGAGACTTTGTAGCTGCAGATTCATCTTAAGGTCAAGTTAGCAGTCTCTTTGGCTGTGTAAATTCCCAAAAACTCTAACCTTCCTGGAGGTTAAAATATCTGATTTCTTGTTGTTAATGACTACAACTCAAAGTTGTCTACAACTGTGGTGTTGAAGAATGGTTTGACAGCAATTGGCAATTGAACTCACTTTTCCAAACTTGTCGATTCCATTACTTAAAACCATGATACATGACTGCCATACCTCCATTGCATGTTGGAGCAGGGTTGTCCCAGGAAGCTGGCCCTCCTGCTGTCCCCGCATTACATGTGATGGTGGCCTGGCCAACCAGGTTGAACCCTTGATTACAGCTAAATGTGACCTACAGCAAGTAAAAGGCAAAGCCTGGGTTTCAAACTATATTCAGCAAGCTGCCATGAAAAAATTCATCAGGTTGGTGAATCATAGAATAGAAAGGCTCTTTATTCCAACCACTTGTTAAGCAAGAACTGATGTTTCAATGAAAGTATATTATCTTCATCAGGGTACATATCATAATTGCTCTGAGTCTAAAGAAGATGACAGACATCGAATCATCGGCTCTTGCTGAACAAGTGGTTAACGTGGATACAAAAACTTTGCTATACATTCAAGAAGGTTTACATGTTGTTGTTTGTTGTTGTTGTTTTGAAAAGGGATTTTACATAACAGATCCCCTTAGGATGGATCAAATGAGTATAATACATACCTGGCTGCCCACACCAAAGGGAGCTCCACCTGAAACCACCTGCCCATTGTCTGGAATACCTGGATTTGGACAGCTGCTAGCTGACACCTCTGTCAGTAAGACAAGAAAGACATTCTTTAAATGAAACAAATAATTCAGAATTATTATCATTAATGCCAACAACTGCATCACTATAACGTTATATGTACAATCACTTTGTAAGGGGTGTTGATGGAAGGTAAGTCACAAATATTTTGGTTGCATTTCCAGAAGTTCCAATAATTAGCATACTGACACTATCCAAAATATCCAGAGACCTACGGTACCCTGTATGCTTTGATACGGTATTCCACAGAAATAGCTTGTACTGCTATCACAGAGTTAGAATTACCAGTATACTCCAACAGGAAGCCTGGTTGCACCACAGACTGATCACTAGTGAACTGGACAACCACTGTGTTTCCACTGCTGTCAAAGTCACTGGGCAAATTGTTGCCTGTTAGACTGAAAACACACAAAATATCACAAATGAGGTACTGTACAAATGTACTAACAAAGTCTATCCTATGGTGCTGTGTATCAAGTCCAATACGTATTTTGTGGAAATATACAAAATCACAAGCATTGCATTTTTGGATTTTTGCCTTACCTCTGTGCAGGTGTGGAGCCTGCTGATCCATCAAAAATGTTGAGGTTATCATACCCGTCCTCCAAACCGAAGGCTATGAAGTGGAGGTGGATAATCGTCCCTGATGCTGACTGGATTGTCCACCTACAATTCAGGTTGTTACCATAGTTGTTTGGGTACCCAGGGCTGGTCAGCTGCTGGGGAGTTGAGGAAGCTTGTGGGATGTTTCCATTGCAATCTGTCTTTGGGTGAGGATGGCCACGTGGACTATATCCTGAGTGAGGAAAAAGAAATGATGATGTGTTAGTATCTTCAAACAAGTTAGATATCTGCAGTCTAAACCAAAATTATGATAAGATATAGTAACATGAAGGTTCTATGTACTGTCGTGTACATTTGAATTTAAAAGCATCACAAAAGCATCATCAACTGCTATCAGGAGTTCAGCATTTCCTCATCTACAAGCAGATTTCTATGGGGCAGTTAGACACTACATACTATACTTGACCACCCCGTAACTATAATGTCTTGCCCCCAAAGGAATCTGCTTGGAGATCATCATTAGCCCTAACTATGGTCAAAGGGCACAGTTATCATATGGTCCCTTAATTACTTTCCAGGTGTTAGATAGGCCTGTTTGCAAATGAGACAGAGACCTGGTAGCCATCAATATTGATGGATACAACTGACAACCTGGTTAACCTCAAAACTTTCAATATACATCATGTATACATTCCTGTTGTACACAATGAGTCAAAAACACAGAAGCCAAAAACTATTAAAAATTTAGCATTTAAAATAGTTCTTCTATAGTGCAGCATGCTATATGGAATGGGGAAATCAGGACTTATCATCCAAAAGAATAATCAAGTAATTACATAGACTTTGTCCAAGGCAAAGGTTGCATACTATTTGTCTCAAATTAAATGCAGCTAATTTATTGTTAATCATGCAGTCATTTTAAATTATTTTTGGCAGAGGCTAGTGGCAGGTATGAATATTAGAACTATTATTGTATCAATGAGATTTTTTTCATTATCGACACTACTGAGCGTGCACTAACATGTCGTCAACAACAGTAAATGAAACATTAAGATGGCGCCTGTATGACGTCAAAATTCCAACATGGCGGCGCCCTTGAAGTAGTTGAAAACAATACATGTAAGTCATACAATCTGGACGTAACAATTTCTATTTACTCACAGACTACAAATTAAAATCACCTCTTCAGTCCGAGCTTGAGCCATTTACTGCTATTTCAAAGCAACAAAAACATTGTATTTTATACAATGCCTCAGATTTGACAGTTTGCAACGTTTGTACAGCATGCTAGGATGGTTGGGAAATGCCTGGAGGGCAGCACCGTCGCCATGGTTACATGATGCAGCAGTGTGTAGATAATCTACGTCGACATCATGTTAACGCCAAGAACATTGGGTCCAAAACATTGCGCTGACATGCAAGAAAATCTATGCCTCCATGCCACACTGCTGATCATAACGTGCCGCTGACCGGAAGTGGAACTCCTTGTGTGGTGGAGAGGTCCATCAAATCAAAAGCAGATGGGGCGACTTTTTGGCGACACCTCAGGGAAGGGGCCATTTTTACACATGTATAACCACGATCAAAAATTTCACGAATACATCCTCAAGAATTTGTTTATACAGGTAGATGTACGTAACTCAAGAAGCTGTGGATGGATGAAATTTGGAACGCGTGTGGGGAATACTAGAGGTATGTGGTTAGGTGTCAACAAAACAAATGAACCAGCTGCAGTTACGGTTTTTGGCCCTCTATCGGCTTTCGATGGCACTGCAGTAGAACTTTGTTCTTAATATGCTATTATCTCAATTCGTAGGTGGCAGATAGCTCTTGGGCTCTGGAAGAAGTTATATATAGGGAGGGGCAAACATGTTGATGAAGAAAGCCGACAAACAGAACGCCCGACAAAACGCCTTAGAAAACCTTTTATTTAGAGGCCTTTAGAATGCGCGAAACTGACCGACCTCTACTTGCAGAGTACAACTACAATACCAAACAGGGATCTTAATTTCCTTGAAGCATTTTGAGGAGGGAGTAAACATGACATATACCATTGTTGTGACTTTTTCATTTTCGCTCTCCCCCGAGAACGTTTGGGTCCATCCACCTCTCGTATAACTAAAGTTACGCCGATCTCAGGCATTCGCTAAATAATTATTGGATGAATGAATGAAGACCTTTATTGTACATTTTCCCCACTGGGGAACAGGTCACATGTTATTAGTCTTATACAATGCAATGTTTCCACTCACATGTTATACAAGTTTCTAATCAAACACGACAATCAGGTCCTCATTTGCATAATTTATATCCAGACTAAAGTGACAAAGTAAATATCTTAAAGTTCGTACGTGTATATTGCATCACATAGGTCATAGGAGTTCGTATCATAAACCGCCACTGATCTACAAGCGGCCGGCCAAAGATCACTTTTGGGGCTACATGCCGGTGGCAAAAATGACACACAAACAGACTATTTATGGCCCCAGTTTTCATATAGAACAGTATAAAAACTGAATTTCTCTCAGCTATACCCCAGTATCATGGGGTTCAGTCAGAGTGTTCAGCGACCTTTTTTTTTTAGTAGAAGACTTCAATAATATCTTACCCCCAAAGTCATTACGCTTTCAGTCGCAATGGTTTTAGAAACCAACCAAAAATATATCATTGTCTATTGGAGTAGCAACGCCTCGGAAGATCTGAAAATCACTGAGCTGCATTACTATAGTTTGCCTATAGCCACCACCGGAGTTGGGTTTGCAGAATCTTAGCAAAGCGTTGGCTATAGTGCTAGTCGTGCCGGAAAGAAAAGGACACAAACGTAAACACAAATGTGTTCACGTTCAAGGCAAATCTCTATCAGACAGCTAGAATTGAAAAAAAAGGTGGAGAAATCGACCAAATTTGGCGTTTAATTGGTATATATAGGGGCTTTTCGCCTCGGTCTGGGACAATTTGAGTCCCCAACCAAGAGACTACCAAGACCTCACCACGTACGGGGTTTCTATGGAGTCCAAAACTTCCTACCTCCGGTGACACGCAGTCATGAGACAAAAATAAACAGTCAACACCTCACGTAGACGTCAAAACTATCGCCAAGTGCAAGGCGTCAATGAGTGATATCTATAATTTTCAGTTGTTTAAGAACTAATTATATAACTTATGCAGATATAGATATCGGTGATACTGATACGTTCAAAATGCGCGTGCTTCATAAGAAATGTGTTAGAATGTCATGGCGATATTAAAACATTTGGAGTGAGAGGCCTCAAAACTAACGAATTCGAAATCGGACATGACATGGGCAAGACGAGAAATTCTGTATCTAGCTATCATTCGCTTTCAATATCTTTAAATCCCAATGATTCCTAGGAAATGTCATGAACAGGAAAGGCTGGCCTTGATACATTTTGCGCATTGTGATTTCAAAGCTTTAAGAATGTGTATTCAGATATCATATACCCATTCTGCTATATGGAATTCAACCGCAATCCACCACAAAAATCTTGTGGAAAATTGCATACCAATGATCTTATACAATATTTATGAATCAACAAAATTCCAAATTTTACGCGCTAAACTTGCTTATCAATCAACAGATAATGAAAAGATAGATAACATGCATATTGTTTCTCTGTTCAAAAATCAGCACAAAGAGTTTCTAAACTTTTCTGTAAAGATAAGATTTATTAAGAAGTTGTGCGCCTTATGTAAGACGTGGCGAACCCCATAAATAGCAGACTCATAGGAATGTATTGACCTGTGCGTGTTTGTGTGTGATAATATGGTTTACGACCAAAGTCCTCTTACCTTGTGTTGCCCGAACAAGCCCCACAGCTAACATTAAAGCCAGCAGCCTCATGTTGAAACAAACTTGCACCCTGATAAGTAAAACAATGTCTCTACAACTCCAAACGAATCTTGAAGTGCCTTGTCCCTCTGCCTCCTTCGCTCTTCACATAACTTTTAAAGAAACAATAAGGGGAGGTGTAGTTTGGAGTGGGTGGTGGTGACTACCTCCGGACGGGTGCGCAGGTGCAATATGGAGGGTGGTACCGATGGTCACGTGGTTCATTTTCTTATCTCCTACAACAAACTTTGCCGGCCGAAAATGTAAAAAAAAATTATAATTTGGATATGAGGAAATGAGGATGCCGTTATAGCTCTGACTAAATTTGTCGATATGTGGTAGAGTCAAAAGACAAAAATACATTCACCTCGAACGTTAAAACAACGCATAGCTATAAAGCTAAGATGGCCATTATTTTAGCAAATGACGTTGAAAGCAATCAGACGTCACGTTATGAAATTATTACAATTCCGGTCATGGTATTGTTCTAAAATAATGTTTCGATAAAATATTTTTGTCAGAGGATTCGATACAAGTTTTCCGAGAATTGCACAAAATTTAGATCCGTTTCAGAATTAAGTCGAAATTGGTTATACAATTACGCACCCCTCCATGAAACATTATAAAACGGCAGAGTGCCCCTCCCCCTTCGTAATGAATAAACCCAGTTCATAAGCCCCCGGAAAATAGAATGATTAACTTTGATAGAATGATTAACGTGAAAGTAAAGACCGCTATCTTCATGTAAGTTTGCCTTGTAGGGCGACTCTTGTCCTGTTCTAACAAGACTTACAGAAATGGCTGATTGAAATGTTTCAAGTACTTGTAATAGATAGACTTCGATATGTTATTCAGGCGTTGATGTGTTGTCATAAAGTGAGGCGTACACAATTTTATGTTTTGACAATAGAAAACGTTATATGAGTGGTGAGGAGAGGCAGCATTCTGCCTTTGTCAAGGCCGTTGGTGCAGAAATGTCAGGACTGGTCAAAGTTCGACTAAGGTCGTTAGGTTATTTAAGAGGTGATCAAATACACACATACGTAAAACAAGCGATACTGGTGAGGCTGTCATTTGTGTCATCTTTACAAAACTGCTCCTTGTCACGGCGTTAGTTTAGTGCGATCAAAGAAAGTCGGGACTAAATCGCATGTTTGGAAGAACGAGGGTAGTGGCGATTGTGACGAGCAATTTTGAGCCCCCTGGTCAGCGACTAGTAACACAGAACATCGGATGTAATATGACTGATAATGATCATATTGACCTCGTAGTCGTATCTACGTGTCCACATATTTGTCTTCGCGTTATGTTCCAGACGGTCTTCTGATAAGTCAAGTCAAACAAGTCAAACTTTATTGCACGGCGACATCGACAGTATACGTAACAGGTACAATATACTAAAAGTCTTTGCCTATAACAATGCTAAGGAGTTATATATATATATATATATATATATATATATATATATATATATATATATATATACATTATATATGGAGCGTGGATCACATGATAACACACAGGAAACAAAGTTGGTATCAAATGTTTGTGTTAGAAATGTTACGATATCTTTTTGAGTAAAACTTCAAGGTAAAGATATGCTGGCCTAGTCGTTCGGACAGCTTTGGTGTTGGGGGGGGGGGGCACCTGCCCTATCATGCACCTCAACAACAGGAAGGATAGTAAAAAAGAAACTTTAAGATACCATACTATGTTTCCAAGGAAACAACGACCCTTCCGAATGAAAAAAATCGTCTTGCAACAGTGAGGTCTGGGACTCTCTCGGCGACCCTTACATGTCTAGCTAGCGACTGACCCTGACCTCTTACAGTTATACTGTCCATGTTAAATGTCAGTGTAATGTCTTGTCCTTGTCAATAGCCACTTGGTCTGCCCTGGCTGTGCGTGCTGAATAGCCAAACCAAAAAATAAACAAACAGTCGATTTCTATCCTAATAGCGTAAATAAAGCATCTTTCCATGTGCATATCGATAAGGCCTCATCAACAATACATGTTCCAGCTTCAGGTTGTGACAAAATACTAGTAGTTATCGACACAACCGTCCTATTGCAACCGTCACGCCAGCAGTCATAGTTACTTTCGCCCTGTGTATTTGCGTGCAATTTTTGATGATTAAATTCAACGCGCCAAGCGTGACACGGCACATCCTGAATAATTTACAAGGCATAATGCCCTTTTTCAGTCAGTATGCGATACGATTGTCTGTATGCCAACCCGGCCCATCTGACGTGTATTTATTTACACAATGCGCCATTATGACTCCATTCGAAGGCCACAGGATTTTATTCCGGAACATAATGTATAAATTACACACAGAACCAAATATTTCAATTGTTGTCATAACCTCCTTGATCAAATCAAAACCATCACATGCGTCAATACAAGGCATCGGGTAGTGTCCAATACACACAAGGGACACTTGGCTACTGTAATGCATTCAATATATTTTATTTCCTCACACCCAAATGACAATACTACCTTCTTCTTAGTGTCAAAATACTAATGTATGATCCAGTTAGAATGTTAAAAGTATACTGATAGAATATAAATATGGATGCCAATTGTGATCACAAGACATCAATTTTGAGAGGGTGTGCCTTATAAGCTACTTATGAAAGTGAAAAGACAAAGTTAAGAAATAGGTAATAAACACAGGCGCGTGAAACTATCTCCGTCAACACGTGTACCAGACTTCAAAAGGATTACCCATATATAGGAATAGAAACGCCCAGTGTTTATGCCCTGGATAAGCCGCCCTTTGTGTTTGTGGCAAACAAAAATTCTGTAATCAGTGACAAAACCACAGCAAACCATACCTCTTACGTAAGATAAGTCTCAACACCAACATGAGTTTACATACTATGGTTATTGGCGATCAAGATTGATTACTTTCAAAAATTGACTCTTTATGTTTTTGGTTTGTATTAAGTACTAGTCTTGCCCACTGTCACAAAAATACCATCCACGAGTCGGCTCTCATTTTTAAGGCTACACAAGACCTCAAAAAGCTGTTAGTACGTATGTTTTCATGTGTGCCCATCTCAGTCTGGGTATAGAAATGTATGGCATGGCCGTCATTTCGTCCTTGCAACTGTATCTAATTCTTTTTTTTTCAAACAAGTCGCTCGTTTGCCTCCCTTACATTGTTGGCATGTTGGCGAACTTCGTTCACTATACGTGAGGGAACTGACTGGGTTATGTCATCCCCACCACCAACAGTATCTCCGTCAGGTGGTTCTTCTGTGTCCGTATCTGCTCGTGTGGGGACATGTAAGTCCACTTCCTCTGTGGACAGGGCACGCGGTGTGTGATGGGAGACGTCACGGTCCTTGTCATCATCATCAGCAGCTTCCCTCTCCTCAGGGACAGTTTCACCCGCCTGTGACGAAAGGTGTGAATCAGTAGTTGCTTGAGACGCGGTGTGAGAAGTAGGTGTGCCTGGGTCGTCCGTTGACGTCTCGGTCTCGTGTTTTGGGGTGATCTGTAGCTCCGGTGGCGGAGGAGGGAGATGTTCCACACCTGCAGCATCTCCGACTCCATCAGTACCGTTACCGCTGGGATTGGGAACCAGGTTTTCTGCAGGTATAGCCTTCGCCGCAAGGGGCTTCCCTGGAACTCTGGGTGGAATTGTCTCTCTCAAAAGACCATTTGTTTCATGTTGCTGCTGCGGTGATTTTTCTGCACTTGGCTTGGGCTTTTCCAGACGGGTGAGTACTTTGATGTTCTCGCAGTACTTGGTGACGTCAACAGGGTGTTTTTCCTTGTACGTTGCCATGGTGATGTGATACTGTCTCCGGAGGTCTCCAACCTTCAGCATCCCTTCAGCCACACGGAACGACATGTTCCGTTTGAGCGGGAACTCCAGCAGGATGTTGTCACTCCGCTCTACTGTGGTTGCCAAGACGACGACCTCTGACCTGGTGGCCTCGAAGTACATGACTCCATCACCAAACTCCTCTCTGAAAAAAAATATACGTTGAAAAGATCATCATCAATTTCAGCCCTCTTAAAGAAGCAGAATGGTCTTGACAGGAGTTTATTTTTGACACAGAGTATACGTACCAAAATGATGCGTTTCAGATTGCATTGGATTCGCAGTGTGGACAGATTATGATGCCACAACTACCTCATCATAGACCTTACTAAACTAAAGGTATCATCATCATCATGTTGGGTCCCCTCCCCCCCCCCAAAAAAAATAATAATAATAAGATGTACACAAGATGGCGCCCTTTTATTGAAACATGGTAACAGTTTCCTGTCACTGGTAAAGAAGAGGAAGCTGCAGTGGTTTGGACACGTAACCAGAGCGAAGGGCACCTTAGCTCACACTACACTACAAGGGAAGGCGGAGGGTGGACGAATGAGGGGGCGCCCTCGAAGGACCTGGTCTAGTGACCTTAAGGAATGGACAGGACATCCCCTGAGTCACCTGACAAGTCTGGCTGAGAACCGCCCTGGGTGGATAACTCTTGTGGACAGTTTAGTTGCCCCGACGGCAGGACAGACTGCTATGGGACCGGTGAGGTGAGGTGAGGAGGTAACAGTAGCATGGGCAGTGGCGGAACGAGGTTACTTTCAACATCGACAAACTTCAAAGGGGCATTCATATCCAGGATTACCGGTTATTAAGGTAGCGACGCCACGAACAACTGGTTAGGAGATGCTGTCATGATCTCCTATGGTCACGCCTGCAGGGCTATGTACACGTTAGGGACACCTGGGAATACGTGGTCGTTGTGCTGGGCTTCGGCCCATTTTGCGAATGAAATTTGATACATCGCTGCACAAATAAACTTTGCACAAGTAGAATAGCTAAACATCCCCTATACTTTTCCTGGCCCCTGTCGTCACTCTAATGTCTAAAATCATGTCTTGAGACAACCTTTGAACTGTCAAGGCCTTCTCTTGAAATGAAATGCCACGTTCTATTCTCGGATACTCTCTTTTCCAATGCTACTAGCGCTAGCTATTATTTGGTGACGCCCTTCCTTCAGGAGAGAACAATCTGTTCACGTGGCGAATACTTGGGACACATCAATGTTTTGTTTTTCGGAACATGACAGGACAATCAAATAAATCCGACATTCCGACTTGATACCGTTCTTTAAAACCAATATTCGGGTTCAGGTTCTGGTTCAAGGTCTGTAAATTGGTAAATAGTCCAATAAGTTATATTAGTTTGTCTTTTCAGTCGAAGATAAAGTGCTTTCACAGACTGGTTTACCTCATTGGAATTTTCTGTATCTTGTTTGTTGTTTTTGTATTATCGAGAATATTCCAACTCAGACTTTGACTGGTTTACCTTGAGATAGTTTTCGGTCGCTGACCACTGACCAGACGGACGGTCAGGGGAAGCGGGTACTTCCGGACGATTTCTTCAGCGGTCAGGTGCGTGGTGAGGTCCACTTTGCCTGGCTGGCCGGGCCCGCCCGTGCTGAACCGAGCCTTCAGGGAAAAGGGAAGCTGGATTCGCTTTCCGTCTTTTTTCCTGACCTGGAAAGAAATAACCCAAAGTTACACATGCTTTCTGTCAGAATCCCTGTATGATGATAATTCACGGCTTTTTTTTTAAACCAAATTTGAGAGAAGTGCATGAATACTTCAAACGCCTACGTCATGTGTGAAACGTATGGCATTGGGCGTGTTATTGTTAACGTTATGCTTATCTTTGCCAAAGTGAAGACGAAGTTCCAGTTTTTCGTTTGAAACAATTCAACGGGTAAAAATTTCACATGTTTGAAATGAAGAGCTTGTCAGTGACAATCTGGTCTGATATTAAACATGACGTCGGCCCGACAGTTAACACTGACAAATGTCTGGAGTGCAGTGAGAAGTTATAAAATGGACTTCAAATATCCAGGAATTGTGTTTAACGCAAAATTCTAATTCAGACGGCATTCCGGCTCAATCCTTTGGTGTGAAGAGGTATTAGGTTTAACTGGTACGCCTTTTTAAAGACCCGCAATGCAATGCCGCACAGCATAATGATGTTTGAAGTAACCGTGCGGCATTCCAAAACATATTGAAATGCCGGACAGCCTTTTTCGTAGACCCGCGACCTTGCTGGGGCTCTGTGTAGTACAAGATGACATCAGTAGAAAAATGTTTGACCACAGCCTCTGAGACAAAACCTCACATAGCTTAGGAAAACATTCACTAAATGCTTACCACTTCCAGGTATCTCGGTGGTTCTTTTTTCTTGAATAAACCGAGGAATGATTTCTGTTTCTCCTTTCGCTGCCGTGCAACCACAACGCCGAGCGGCCGGAGTTCGTCGTTTTCCGAGACTACGACGGGGTTAGTCCCGCGTGACGACACACTGTCACTCGGCTTCACCTCGCTCATCAGCAATATGGAATCTTCCCGAATGTCTTCCCGGGCAAAGATTTTGGACGGAAAGACGTTGGCGACCTGCTTCACAGTCTCAAACGATCGGGAGATATTGGGCCCACGCAGCATCTGAAACTTGCCCGGATACTTGAGCGGAATAGCGAGCCTGGGACCGGTATCCTTACGGTCCTTTTTCAAAAGCCGTGCCATAATCTTGCTTGCCCTTGTGGCGTCCTGCAGTAGGATGACCTCGCTCTCTGTGCAGGCCTGCGGTCCGAGGGCCTTGTACGTGCCGTGTGTGATCCTTGTGAGCTGCGGTAACTTGTACTGCGCCTCTATGTCAGAAAGGCGCATCTCGGTATCGCTCCAAACCAGAGAGTCCAGCGACGTTCTCTCTTCAGCAGCCATGTTTGGATTCAGTCGGCGGTGTGTTGCCTACAATTATATGCCCAGTCCAGCCAGAAAACCTCATAGTCACGCTAACAATAGCATCGTCTGAATGAAGAGAAAACGGGCCCAACCATTCAACAGAAGGGATGCCGACTGAGACAGACGAGATCTACACCGCCCTGTCCTATTGTAAATGTTTCCTGGTATGGCTATCAACAATCACCACCTGTTAATCCCTGTAACATACCGCAGATTACCTGCAATTTGTCACGGGTTGGCCATGTTGAAAGCTAGTAATGGGCATTTTCCACCTCAATATAGACTACCCGACTGCATTGTGTTTTCCACCCATGTTGAAAGGGCTGACCTTTTCAGCCACAGTCGACGTCGAGCCCATTTTAGCGTAAACATGACACATGCATTTAGGGTGGCTGTCCAATTATCATAGTATAACCATAGTATAGTTGGACAGTGATCCTAAATGTTTACGCCCAAAGGTTCTCTTAGGCTGGTGACACCCCTAAATTTTCTAGCGGACTGGAAGATGCTGCATTAAATATAGATGAATAGGACAACAATGGGGAATAATGACGGAAATGTCGGCGATTAAGAGGCTTTTACCAGGGTATACGTAAAGTTTAAAGGTACGATACAATGATTCCTAGAACACAATACACTTGGAGAATACATGACATGACAGAAATAATTTGTTTTATATGTATGAAGGATATGATAGGCAGTTTGAGTAAAGGCATCTGTGCCACCGCAGCATCTGATCCTTCATTTCAGTTGTAATGATCGATGAATGATGCGTAATGAGTACCAAAAAAACGAGTTCCACGACCTCATACAGTGACATACACCAAATGATGATGATGATGATGGTGAAGAGGGAGAGAGAAACAAACAGACAGACAGGCACACACACACACACAGACAGACAGACACATGCACCCGAAAATATAACATTCTTGGCGAAGGCAAACACCCGTCAGACCAGGGTTTGCCAACCATAATGCAACCCCAATACCATGAGACACATCCATGTAACGGCGTTATGTAATAAGCGCACGAAGTCATTACTGGTCAGGGCTGTAAAATATTGATACACTATAAATGATTGCTTTGCGACACAAATCAACTGTAAATTTTGTTAAGGCGTCACAATTCGCACGCAGGTCAAGTGCAAAATACCCTTTTTGATCACGTATATGGTGGGTTTTGGCACCACATATAAATCATGCAATACGTCAAAATTCGCTAGAAGGCGCAAATGTACGTGCACCGACTTACATAACTGTTGACCGCCCACTTAAATAATACACAAACCTCAAGCAAAAGGCAGGTCATACTTTGATCGACATCATAAGATATAACGTTACGTTTTTTTTTCCAAATGCTATAATTCAACAGTCAGACACGTTATTCTTTTATATGATATGGTGGTACTTTCGTAAAAGCGTATAATCATAAAATCATACATTGCTGCAATAAAACAGGCATTGCATCTTCAATACCCCTGCAATGTATCCCCGACTGTGTCCTGTAGAGCCTCCTCTAATCCGTTATTCTCAAGTCTGGTATCTATCTATATTAAGTTGGGGGATATGTTCATAATGAAATTCACACATATCAATGGATGAATATATAGCGCATGGCACTTGCACCTCACAAAATCGAAATTGATTCTGTCTGTACTGCCTTCATGTCATCCCATGTGGTCTAGTGGTTAGGATTCGTGGCTTTCACCCACGCGGCCCGGGTTCGATTCCCGGCATGGGAAGTTCTATTTTGGGGAAAATGTATTTACGCAAAAAGATTTAACAGCGTTCGTATCCGTTCTTCGTATGATTGTTCGCACCTTTTTCACCGCGGCGTCGTTCTCTATAATAATTTCCTTTATTGATTTCCATGTTTCAATCGCCACTAACCTACTCCACATTCACCAGCACCGCCACACCCCCTACCCCATCTGAAACAGGGAGGACGCCTGGAAACAGCGACCGTCGCCGTGTGTTGTGTGTAAACATGGCGCTTCTGTTATCCTTGTGTTTTGATCACAAATCTTAGCTTGTAGGTACAAGACTGAACTGTGACAACCCAGGGCGTGTTAATCAAGCTCGGACGACCAAAAAGAAAGGAAGATATCACATTCACGCTTATGTACGTATTTACACAAACGTCAATCTACTAAGTATTTGACAATTAATTCAAATACGCGATACACGTACGTTGATCGATCGATATATCTACATTCGGTTAGATTCGAATTCTAACTCGGATGATTATATAATAAACTATCTAGTTCCTCGCTCTACTTTTTACTTCTAAACTTCTGAGTAAAAGGCAAAATGTCTGAAATTGACAACAACAAAATCAACGCATGTCAGGACAATGTCTCAGTTGACAAAGGACTAAATTGCTACTAACAGTGTTTTTATACAATAACATACATTGTTACTGATCAAATATATTGCAATGCTTTTGTGTGATATGCGATAATTCGTGTGTAGATCCCCCATTATGAGCTACGGAATGGAGTTAGTTTAGTTTGTTTATTGTAACGTAAGGCCTATTGCCCTGGACATTAACATATACGTATGTTCCCTCTGACACGTACAGGTGGCACATAAAGAGGCAGGTAGGGGCTAGACAAGGGCAGATGTTTATTTAACGACACCACCAACAAAAATTCACATTACCCCGTCATTACGCACTCTTGTTATTAAATTCTTAAACCGAACGTCTTCGTCGACAATGTGCAAGACACTTATTTACCTTTAACAGGCGTGTGAACTATGACACAAATAATGAAAGTACAACCCACATCCTGTTCAGTTCGGAAAAAGCAAACCCCCGAACAGGCCCACCCTTGTCTGTAACATGCACAAGGTAAACCGAACTTTGACCGGCACTGAAGCGAGCACCTGGCTACGGTCTAATGCTGCTCCGCTATCTCAACTTTACGCAGGGTGGAGCAGAAGCAGGAAACCGTTCTTCCAAACATGGACTGACTTACTTCGGGCAATGTAGGGGTGTTGGCTAAGAACGTGGATTTTCAACCTCAGGGAGATCAGTGGGAATTTAAATGTTACATGAATCACGTATTCGGGTCGTCAGCTAATCGCAATAACACGTAGACTGTATACCCACCAATGGACAGCATTGTCTTTTAACAGTTCAGCTATTTCCGAGACTGCGTCACGGGAAAGATCTAAGTCACCCTCTGGACAGTGTAAACTCGGGTCATGGCGGCTAGCCCGGCGACGCCCTAAAACTTTTATCCGTCTGCCAGCGCTGCCATAATTCGCAATGGAAGTCACAGAGACGGCACAGCCTGCCAACTTCTTAACCTCCTTCAAATGGAGTGAGCGGTCCATCGCCCTTGGAGTGCTGTTAGAGAACTACCGGCTGCCGCAGGTGGTGAGGGTACCGCGGGATCACCAGGTGCGGGTCGGGGCCGTGTCCCTGGCCGGGGACCAGCATGTTCTCCTGGGGGAAGCGCGGAAGGTTCGCCGGGTGGTGGCGCAGGCAGTCGAACTCCGGAGTTTCCTTCCTATCGGGTCCAAACTCAGCATTCCCATGGATTTCAGGTACGGTTTCCGTGATCTGTTTTCTATCTTTTTCGTTAATTCAACAGTTAAGGGATGATAATTTATGGACAGGTTTATTGTACATAAGAGCTTTGCCAAATACTTAAAGGTAATTCACGCACTCATGGTTGTTGCCGTCTTGCGGTTCTTAATTTGCCCAGGCTCACATTTTGATTCTATCTATCTACTAGTCCACACGATCGTTATCTCTTTACATATACATGTATGTTTGTGTTGTTATGACTAAACGTTCTACGACACGTCACTAGTATATCTTTAAATGTCCTCATCATATTGGACATTCCGTTATCATTGATTGCCATGAACAATTATTATTCAACCTATGACCCATCTAAAACAACTTCTGGGTGTTGCAAACAACATCCATTGAAAGTCCCCGGATGGTAACAGGTTGTTAGAGAACTGTGTTGTGTTTTTGTTGGGATTACCCAATGGAAGAGAACATTGGGGATACGTATTCCAGATAGGGTGGGATAGGTCTTCTGTTCTATGGCAAAACTGGACAGTGCATGTGATTAATAAGATATGTTTGATCTGAAAGAACCACTATTCATGAACATATGAGATGAAAAACTAAAAGAAGCGAATTCGTAATGGTGCAGGGCCGAAGTCAGCAACCTCGCACAAAGTCGTGCCCTGCTTCCATTGTTTATATTTGCTATATCAACAAAAGTAGCATTACTGAAATAGCTGCGTGCGTGGGAAGGTTAACCATTACGGCACTGAAGTAGCTGTTTGGCTACCAATTCTCTATTGGTCACGGGGTTAGGCAGCAGTGAGTTTTTGGTGCATGCTATCTGCTTTACCTGATCATGAACTTCATGTCTTACGATGGATACTGATAAATACCCTATATTACCCTACATTCCATTGCGGGCCTATGCTCTAGTTATTTGCTTGCTCATGATGACCTCTATATTATTTTTTCAGGGGGCGCTTCCTGCTGTTGCCGCTAGAGGGCTGGCAGGTCGGGGTACGCCATTTCGAGACGGTGTCAGAACTGACGGCTTCCTTCCCAGATAAAGTCTATGCAAAGGAAGATATTCATCTGGATGTCTTCGATGGCATAGAGAAGACGCCGGACAAGAAAAAAGTCGCCAAGACGGTCAAACACGTCATTGTTCAGCGCGGTGACGTCCTGACGTTGCTTGCCGTGAAGAAAGCCTACCGGGTGTCTAAGACAACTAAGAAACCCAAGAAAGGCAGCTCCAAGGTCAGTTCCTTTTCAGTATAATATTGCGCTTCAGCTGACCTTTACAAACAGTTAGTAAGAGTTTGCCACGCCATCTGAGATTGTATAAATGGGAAAGCTCTTAGAGAAAATAAACACTATTTCAAGAAACTTGAAGTTAGATAAAAACATAATCAACACATTATCCAATTTTCACTTTAGGCGGTGGACTGTTTGATTTGCGCCAATCAGAAGAACGAACGTGTGGCCCTGCCCATCTCGTTCCCAGGCAAGTTCGTGACGGTTCACACCATTGAAGAGATCATCAAGAACTATCGGCTTCCGGTCATGGTGCAACTTGTGCAGGGCCAGCCCCCGCCGGTGGACAACTTCACAGGTATATATAACCATTTTAAGTCATATTCGCACATACATTTATAGAAGGGATCGTTGTCGACGTCAGGCTCTCATCGGGCACATTCTCCCGAGGCAGAAGTGCTTCCGCGGCGTAAATAGCCGGACAAAGTATCGCGGAGTGGTTTCAAGTAATTTCACTATGTCTAAAAGTTAACTGTATCGTCGCTTGACAGGTGTACTGACACTGATGGAGACCGGTACAGACCACAGCGTACAGGCCAGGCTGGTGTCCGCGGAGGGAGAAATAGACACGGAGCCGTTCAGAATCCCGGTCATCGGCAAGAAAGTTCAGCTCGTCCCTCCTGAAGCGATGTTACTGAACACCGCGGAGTACAAGCAGAACTTAGCGGACTGGCTAGAAGGCAACTGGCAGGGGCCGCCGGCCAATGGCCACGTTAGCAACGGCTCTGTGTTAAGAGAAACACCGCGTAACGGAGATCTCGTGACGGTACAAGCCACCCTGCACCAGGAAACGTCTCCAAAAGAACTGGAGAGGTCAGCGGAGGATGACGTTACTACGGCCGACGGCAGCAGTCGCGTTGTTTCAATGGACGGCTCTATCTACGAGTATGTCGAGGGATCGAAACCCCCAGAGGAAAAGCCAGAGGTTCGCCGACACATTACTCTTGCTGAAATAGTTCTGGAGGATTCGTCTACAGACCCTCCGGACTCCCCAAAGGAAACGGTGGAAAGTTCAGCTGACAGAAGCGAGGGCGCACCACCTGCTCCAGACTACCCTGCCCCTCTTCCACCCATCCTCCCCCCTGACGTCGTCACTCCGCCTGCCCCCGACTACCCCGCCCCTCCACCGCCCCTTCAATCGGAGACACTCGCCCCCCTCGAAGTCCCACCACCTGTTCCGGATAAACCTATCAACATTCCGGAACGCGACTATGACCCAGACCCTCCTTCCATTACCGCACCCCCTCCGGCCCAGTCTGAAGACAAGTACGGTTACATGATACCTTTAGACAACGACGGCCTGCCAGTGCGCGACTATCCACCAGACGACACCCCTTCGGAGACCACGACCACTTCCCCCCTCGCCTCGGCAGGTGGGGCGGCCCTCACTAGCCAAATACTTGCTATGCGGCAAAAGATCCTGTCGGGTGAAAGCAAAACAGAAGATACCGAGGGTGGGCAAGAAGATGATGAAGACGCAGATGACCCCGACTGGGAGCCACCTAACGACCTGACGACCATGTCAGCCAGACAAGTCACCAAGTTCCTCCGGTTGGCAGACGTAGAGGAGGAGGCCATACAGCGGTTCAGGGCCGCGGGAGTTGACGGGAAGAGGCTAGTGGGCATGCCCAGGGATGAAATGACAGATGAGTTTGAACTCACCTCACAGCAGAGCAAAGACATCTTCAGCTTCATACTGGAGTCGCAGATCGCTACCAAGCTGTAGTGACCAAGCTGACTTATCAGCGGCTCAGCATGATCAAACTTATGACTTCCATGCAGTACATGCAAGCCCAAAATACAGCATGTAATTATAACGTTACCAGTGCAGTACGGATCACAAGATGATAAATTTAACGTTACAGACAAATTATGCAGCACAATAAATGATGTGACATTTTGCAAAACAACTTCTTGTTTTAAGATGTCAAATGATGATCATGTCAAGTGGTACCCAGTCAGTGTCACTTTTACGCCCGCCGCGCATATAGCAAATATAGTACAGGGCAGTATCACTGTAGAGAAAATCTACCCTATACTGCCCTTATATGCCCAGTTATATGAAGTTGTAAAACTTCTTGCCTTCAAAGAATAACTATACATAGTACGTAGTAGAGCCAGGTATAGACTGTATGGTGTGATATTGTATATTAAATCGCCACCGATGTATACAACAAAAATTAAAGCCTGTACTGCTTGACGGTATCAGCGTATACTATGTCTCTATTGGCTGCTCTAGATCTGCTTAAGTATTCATATAATTTTTATGATTTAGCTATGGTAATGCTATCATTCTATACTTATTGTGCAGTACTTTCGCAGAGGATGTATACATAAACATATACGCAAATTGCAAATATTACAAATAAAACTGAAGGAACATTGTACTGTCGTTCTTTTTGTTCCAAACTTGTTAATCCTCTCACACCAAGCGAGTTTTACCCGCCGCACCTGCACAGATGTGCTGGGTCTTAATGCAGAAAGTAATAGAAACGTCACGTCCGAGGGGAAGCAAGCGGTGTGCATCAGTGAGTGCCTTGTGTTCCTTCCAGGCCACTTCAGGAGGTCACAAGGCAAGGCTTTCTTTAGTTGCAATTGTATACGCAGTCTTCCATGAAGGGATATGCATGGTTGTGTTACTGGGGCTATTTCATTAAATGTCCGGGGATTCGTTGACAAAATTATTGTTTACAAGAAGTACGTGTATTCTGAAAAAATGCGTGGCTGGGTCAAAAACGTATAGAAGAAAGGAATAAAGAAGAGGCCTGGGGGTTTGGTATGCCCTAGAAATAAAATCTTAGCCTCGAGCTATGAAAAACATCATCGTCGTCATAATATAATTGACACGGTCAAACTCTAAGCTAGATGTTAGCATTGTTGATAAATACTAGTACTTCTGTGAGACAATAAGGGAATAAAGAAAATGTACAAGGAGTTGACAGTGCGGAAGATGCAAGGATAAGTCGCATAAATGGGTGCCAAAAACACAACTATCTGTGCATGTTTATACAAAATTGGCGCGTACTTGGTAAAGCTTGCTAACATAAAAATCTTCAGAAATAACAGAGTCATTCAAATCTGTGAAAATTTTTTTTCGTGTCAAGTTTGTTGCACAGCCCCAGTTCTCAAGAACGGTCCCCCTTGCGTGATCTTGCGTGACTTAGTAGACAAAAGCATGATGTCACGTGACGCTGCTGAGAAGGACATGTGGTTCAACAAGGTTATCTGGTCTCGAGGAGGGGAGTTTCCATTCAGTGTTTTAGTCAACAACGGGGGTGTACATAAGGCATAGAGAACGTTTGTAGGTGAAACCTAGTGTTGTCAGCGATTCTGGGCAACTTTATGTTTATGAAGAGCGACTTTACGTTATTCATAACAACAGACTAATCGCTCATAGGCAAAATGCTTCCGAGTCTCCCCCAAGTCACTGAGTGGACTCTTCCTGTTGGGGTATCAATATACGATTTGTTTACCTGGCTGGTGCAACAGCTCACCTTTTGTCAGCCATCTTGGCTAACTGTGGGTTAATCAAATATTTGGTACAAGATGGCGGTTTCCACGGGGCAACAACAGTTCATAGTGGATTATATCAAGTGGAGTGACGTGGTCCTGCCACTGGACGTCCTGGTAGAACAGTACCCTTTGCCACAGATAGTGAAGCTGGCCGACCAGAGTTTGAGCGAGGTGGCAGACAGCACTATTTTACTGGTGAGCGTGACCAAGTCGAGTTATGTAGTTGGGCGTAGTCTGGGAGGGAACAACAGAACACTTGTAGGCCCGTGGCTATCCCTGCCCCTGTCGTACAGCGGCAAATTCACGTACCTACACGACACGCCTTTGAAGGACCCGCGCTTCGACGGCGTGCCAGGGTTAGCAAAAAGTCTTCCGGACAGAGTCGTGGCGAAACAATCGGTGTCCGTGCCCATGTCTCTGGTTAGTTCGAATGTCTCAGGCGACTCGGACTATAATGTCATAGCTGTGGCTGCTGGAGATGAACTGGCGTGTCTTGGGGTCGAACACTTGGGCACAAGAACAGTTGCAAGTGATGCATCAGCGACAGGAGATGAGGATTTCACACCAGGGCGCCTGCTAGCATGTTTGAATCAAGGGAACGAGTACGTGACCCTCCCGTTTGACTGTAGATCACAGTTCGTGGCCATAGCAGGCGGGGTGACAGGGAAAGGGGATGAGGACGTAAGTGTCGCAGAAATCGTCGCAGAAAATCGCCTTCCCATGACGGTGTTGCAAACGGAAGGGGACATTCCAAAGTTTTGCGGAGACACTTTCAGTGGAGTTATCAGACTCGCCCATCTAGCTGACAAACAGGACACCATTCTCTCGTGCTTGCTGCGAAAGGAAAACGGGAAACTCAAGTACGAGTTTCTTGAACTCCCATTGCAAAGTAAGGTGGGCGTGTTGGCGGCACATGGCATGTTGGGAGATCAGACAGACTACAACATAGCCGTGACGGAATGTTGTGACAAACTGAGGGTGAACGCGCTGCAGAATACCGGGCTGCGGGGGATCACACGTGTTCTGAGCCGGGACCTCATATTCAAGGACAAATTCAAGCAGATTGAGGAAGAAACACAGTATTCATCTTTCCACGTAGTCGACGAAGACAGGTTGTACGAGACGCTGAATCCTAGAAAACCGCAGTGGGACAGTACCATCCCGAGGAGACCCCCTCCCCCACCGCCCAACGGTTCGACGTCACAAGTCGATGTAGACGACGTGTTGGACGACGAGGGTTACTTGTCGCCGATCGACCTGCGGCCGCCTCCCCTCCCCCCGCCGCGCCAGGCAAGTCTGACGGGAAACTCACCGACGAGTCCTCGCAGGATCACCGTCAAGGGTCAGGAGTACGAATCAGAGTGTTAGAAACTTGATGTAACTGGACCAGGTACTACTTAGTATCTCAGTTTTGGTTTATAATTAGGTAATGACCTAGCAATTTACTCATATATCACGGTTACGGAAAGGTGTTTATCCAGATGATACTAATTACGGGAAAACGCAGATAGATCTAAAATACGTATAGCTGCTTCTGAAGAACGTCATTGCATGTCAGTCGTGCACAGTACAATGTTTATGGCAACAATTACTAGTATTGACCATGGTACAAAAAGAGGTTACATGTACGTCCAAATCAAGCTTGCAGACCGGTCTACATGTATATTCACGGTGAAAACGTAAACTCGTACATTCGACTGTCATTAATGGACAGCATGTTACAAATTCTAACGTTACTGTAACATTTTCCACTTTTAGCCGTGCCATATTATTTTTATCGTCCCATAGGTTGTGCATACTTCCCTGACAGGGAAGCCATGCATGTGTGTACACATGCACGCGGCTCCATATGTATATTCATTGGAAATAACAAGTACATGTACTGAATCCAGGAAATTTGTACCCAAAAAACAGTGAAAAAAAAGAGAAAACAAGGAGGCATTCCTTTTATAAATTTCTAAACGCCCATTTACGAATAATATTAGACACAAGCACTATTAATATTGTCAGTATTTGTAATGGATGAATTTTATTGTTTGTGTAAAGTTAACATGCGTGGAGTTGCTAAGTTGCTTTTTCAGATATTATCTCACTCGAAGGGCTTTCACTTCTAGTCCCCACTCATTCTTTACGATTGAATGTGGGCTCGTGTATATATGATAACATTAAGACGTATAGTAACAAATGTAAAAGTTTTTGTCGACTTTTTTCAATCATGTAATAAAATATTTGTTGTATCTGATATACGTTTTCGGCCTTCGTCTCTCGATCCTTTCTCTGGAAAAATATATATTATTAGTAATCTATAGCCGGCGAAAAATAACGTACTTATTGAGTTCGGATTATTATCAATAATAGGTTGAATTTGTCGGTAGCAACGCATCGGGGCGCTTAATACTTTGGGTAACGTTGGATTACGTTATGAGTAAAATGGCTTAGGAATCATCCGTATAAGAAATACGGCTACACATTATACAGTTTGCAGGGTACAGACCTCTTCTTCTTCTTCTTCCTGATAGCGACCATGGCCACGATCATCATGTTGATCATTCTGTCGCTGTAGGTCGGAGGTCACTATATAGCAGCATTACTGAGATGTGGAGGCCTTTGACACGAAGATGTCAATATTTTTGGCCTCAACAGTTGTTTGTGATAGGGTGTTCCAGTCTTTCATTGTCCTCGGTAGATATGAGGCGTGGGTGCTCAAGTGCTCAGGTGCTCAAGGGTTCAGTAAAACCCCGGTGCTGTATATAGATAATTTATTTGTATAATTGTAAAACCTGCGCATTATGAGTGCAACAATAAGAGGGTTTTCATCGCGATTTTAGTCTAAGGCCGGCGAGTCTTATGGATGACATCCTCCACAGACTCCAAATCTAATGCGATAGGGGAAAAAACAAGGCGGACCAAAACAAGGTTCCTACATTTTCAAATTTTGACCTCATAAACCTTGTTAAACAAGAAATGATAGCTATATTGTGCAAAGTTTACTGCCAACTATTGAAACATGGTTTTGATGGTTCGATGATTGCCGGTTTTGATCATGAACATCACATATAAAAGGAATGAAATGCATCACTGCATCAAAGCAAAAGAGAAAACAATAAGTCCTATCCTGTTTCCTCTCTTCAAATTTATCTGCCATCCAGTTCCGGTATGGCAACAGACATATCTGCCCATTTTCGGCATGTTGACCACTTTCAGAAGGCAACAAAATCTCTTGTTTTTTTCCAAAATCAGGCTAAATTAATGCGCGCGCTGATGTCATCCATAAAAATCTTACAAGTTGTGACCCCAGTGCAGACTCCTAATATTTCAACGCATGGCCGTGGAAATATAACATACAACGGAGAAAGGAAAGCTGGATACCTTGGGTTTCACTACCGTGCGGTATACGTAGTAGGTCTATACTGAAAGGGAGAACTTGAAATAGCCCCGAGCTTCTTCTAAAGATGTCTCGGCTCTAGACTCAAGACGGTCAATGCGTAAACTTACTATCAAGTTTTAGAATTAACTGACAGCACTACATTTCTACTAAAAAAAACGTACTCGCCGCAAAGCAATCAAGTAACATTTCACACCTACGTACATGTACATGTATGTAGTATACTGGTCCCTACCGGCTGTAGTCAGTCAGGGCCGCCTTTATATTATCTGAATACACCCACGGTCCGGGGACGGTCTCCTCCGTTACGTGGCAAGCCTCTCAGAGATAAAAAGCTACAAGATATGCTGAACGACTGCCCACGCAAACGTTCATTCACAATTTATTCGACCCCCGAATCCAGCAATACGTCATCGGTCCCACTGCGTGATACACGTTATCCGTGTTTTGCCTATAAGAGTCCTATAACATTACCTGGCAATATTGACTTGTTTTCTGAAACATTATTGTGGTGAACATGTTTATTCATTCGGACTGAATTGCCTGTGATGTCTTGAGCGCGGAAGTCTCTAGGTGTTAGATGAGAAATGTGAAATATGTTATTACTCAGCCCAGTCATGCAGTCAATTTACTGTTTCCCTGTCGTCTTTCATCCCGGAAATGAAATTCGCTGGCTCACTTTCCAATCGTTGGGTGTCTCTTTCATTATCTTGTAATGCCTACTTTTATTTAAAACAAAAATAAACTAGATAGAAATATTAGCGGTTGCTAATATAGACAGGTTCGCGTTGTAGTGTAAGCTAAATCAGCTAAGGTTAAGATTGCACAACGGACGTGCCCCATGACCTTCGACCTTTTGGGGGTCATGCAGGCGTCAACAGCGCCCTCCCTACGCCTCGCCCGTCCGTTTTCGTGGGCAAATTTCTGCTTTTTTTTAGAGGTTTCGGGACCTAAAAACTCACACCAGGGGGAGAAATAAGCCACATACGTTATTTTCATGGTAAACATCGCTAAAATGGACCAGCTGTATCACACCGAACGGCTTGTTACACTCAATCTTTGCACATTTGATTGCAGGAGTTGTTAAAAGTTGAACACACCACAGCTTCAAGGCCACATACTCCTGTTTACCTGAGGGAGTATCGGTGTATGTAGCGCCACAAGCTGTGTCCTTGAGAGTGCTCAGACTGCCAACTTTGGCCTGAGGTTATGGCGAAGGGAAATGAGGTCACGGAGAACAGAACAGATTCGGTGGCACTGCGTTTTCCCTGTTTAGACGGGAATACGAAGAGATACAGAAAATGTGCTGTGTCTCAGCCCTTTCAATGCAGGATGATTTGTTTGAAAAATCTCCGAGAGAGGATAACTAAACAACCATTTGACGGG